AGTGACCTCACTGTATCCATGACACGGGTACCTCACTGTATCCATGACACGGGTACCTCACTGTATCCATGACACAGTGACCTCACTGTATCCGTGACACGGGGACCTCACTGGATCCGTGACACAGGGACCTCACTGTATCCATCACACAGGGACCTCACTGTATCCATGACACGAGGACCTCACTGTATCCATGACTCGGGGGGCCTCACTGTATCCATGACATGGGGACCTCACTGTATCCATGACACGGGGACCTCACTGTATCCGTGACAAAGGGACCTCACTGTATCCATCACACAGGGACCTCACTGTATCCATGACACAGGGACCTCACTGTATCCATGACACGGGGACCTCACTGTATCCATGACACAGGGACTTCACTGTATCCATCACACATGTACCTCACTGTATCCATGACACGGGGACCTCACTGTATCCATGACACGGGGACCTCACTGTATCCATGACACGGGGACCTCACTGTATCCATGACACGGGGACCTCACTGTATCCATGACACGGGGACCTCACTGTATCCATGACACGGGGACCTCACTGTATCCATGACACAAGGATCTCACTGTATCCGTGACAAAGGGACCTCACTGTATCCATCACACAGGGACCTCCCTGTATCCATCACACAGGGACCTCACTGTATCCATGACACAGGGACTTCACTGTATCCATCACACAGGGACTTCACTGTATCCATCACACAGGGACCTCACTGTATCCATCACACATGCACCTCACTGTATCCATGACACGGGGACCTCACTGTATCCATCACACAGGGACCTCATTGTATCCATGACACAGGGACCTCACTGTATCCATGACCCCGGGGACCTCACTGTATCCTCAACACAGGGACCTCACTGTATCCATGACACAGTGACCTCACTGTATCCATGACACAGTGACCTCACTGTATCCATGACACAGTGACCTCACTGTATCCATGACACAGTGACCTCACTGTATCCATGACGCTGGGACTTCGCTGTATCCATGACACAGGGACCTCACTGTATCCATGACACAGGGACCTCACTGTATCCATGACACAAGGACTTCACTGTGCCCATGACCCAGATAGGGACCTCAGTGTATCCATGACACAGTGACCTCACTGTATCCATGACACAGTGACCTCACTGTATCCATGACACAGTGACCTCACTGTATCCATGACACAGTGACCTCACTGTATCCATGACGCTGGGACTTCGCTGTATCCATGACACAGGGACCTCACTGTATCCATGACACTGGGACGTCATTGTATCCATGACACGGGGACCTCACTGTATCCATGACACAGGGACCTCACTGTATCCATGACACAGGGACCTCACTGTATCCATGACACAAGGACTTCACTGTGCCCATGACCCAGATAGGGACCTCAGTGTATCTATGACACGGGGACCTCACTGTATCCATGACACAGGGACCTCACTGTATCCATGACACGGGGACCTCACTGTATCCATGACACAGGGACCTCACTGTATCCATCACACATAGACCTCACTGTATCCATGACACGGGGATCTCACTGTATCCATGACACGGGGACCTCACTGTATCCATGACACGGGGACCTCACTGTATCCATGACACGGGGACCTCACTGTATCCTCAACACAGGGACCTCACTGTATCCATGACACAGTGACCTCACTGTATCCATGACGCAGGGACCTCACTGTATCCATGACACGGTGACCTCACTGTATCCATGACACAGTGACCTCACTATATCCACGACACAGGGACCTCACTGTATCCATGACACAGTGACCTCACTGAATCCATGATACAGGGATCTCACAGTATCCATGACACAGTGACCTCACTGTATTCATGACACAATGACCTCACTGTATCCATGACACAGTGACCTCACTCTATCCATGACACGGGTACTTCACTGTATCCATGACACGGGGACCTCACTGTATCCATGACACAAGGACTTCACTGTGCCCATGACCCAGATAGGGACCTCAGTGTATCTATGACACGGGGACCTCACTGTATCCATGACACGGGGACCTCACTGTATCCATCACACATGGACCTCACTGTATCCATGACACGGGGACCTCACTGTATCCATGACACGGGGACCTCACTGTATCCGTGACAAAGGGACCTCACTGTATCCATGACATGGGAACCTCACTGTATCCATGACACGGGGACCTCACTGTATCCGTGACAAAGGGACCTCACTGTATCCATCACACAGGGACCTCACTGTATCCATCACACAGGGACCTCACTGTATCCATGACACGGGGACCTCACTGTATCCATGACGCAGGGACCTCACTGTATCCATGACACAGGGACCTCACTGTATCCATCACACAGGGACCTCACTGTATCCATCACGCGGGGACCTCACTGTATCCATCACGCGGGGACCTCACTGTATCCTAGACCAAGGAACAGCACTGTGTGATTGACGTTATGCTTGCTAGCTATATTTTCATTTAATTTATTTCAGCAATCCTTGAATCAGATGGGAAATCAGAAAGTCTTAATAGATTTCAAAACCAATATAGAAACAAGTTTCAAGAAAGTTAAAGCTGGCTTAGATAAAAAGAACCCAGAAGATCCACCTGTTCTTCCAGATGAACAAAAACAGTGGTATGTGTAGTACTATGCATTGTACATTAAGTCTAGTATATTGCAACCAGGTTTGCACTGCTTTT